TACAGGAATGATATTGTGAAACTTGAAAGGGTTAAGAAAAGGTTTACAAAGATTTTGCCTGGGTTGGAGGGTTTGAGCTGTAGGGAGAGACTCAACAGGCTGGAGCTATTTTCCCTGGAGCGTCGGAGGCTGAGGGGTGACCTTATAGAGGTTTATAAAATCATGAGGGGCATGGATAAGGTAAATAGAAAAGGTCTTTTCCCTGAGGTGGGGGACTCCAAAATCTGAGGGCATTAAGTTTAAGGTGAGAGGCGAAAGATTTAAGAGGGACCTAAGGAGCAACTTTTTCATGCAGAGGGTGGTGTGTGTGTATGGAATGAGCTGCCACAGGAAGTGGTGGAGGCTTCGTACAATTACCCATCCAGATGCCTTTTAAATGTTGTATGTGAATAGGAAGGGTTTAGCGGGATATGGGCCAAATGCTGGCAAATGTGACTAGATTAATTTAGAATATCTGATTGGCATAGACGTCTTGGACCAAATGGTCTGTTTCCATGCTGTACAGCTCTGACTCTAAATTAGTGAGCATTTAGAGGTGCTGAAGTTAATTAAAGACACCCAGCCTGGAATTGGTAAAGGCAGTTGGATTTGACAAATGAATGTACAGCTATGTTTTAGGAAGGTGCACGTATAGATTTTCAGAAGGCATTCATTGAGGTGTCTCAGAAGGCTTGACTTAAAGATTAATGCTGATTATCACAAGGTTAGAGGTTACATCAATGACAGAGGCTGCTTTATGGATAGGGGATGGACTTTGAGTTAATAAGTACAAGATGGTGGGATAATGATAATGGTTTTGGACAAATAATCCACAGGCTTAGGTAGGTTAATGCTCTTGAAGCACAGATTTAAAACCCACCACAGTAGCTGGTGGAATTTAAATTCAGTTAATGAAATCTGGAACATAAAGCTCGTCTCAGTAATGGTGACCAGGAAACTAACACTGATTTTCATAAAAAAATCAAAGAAGGAAATCTGGCCTACATGTGGTTCCGGTCCTATGGTAATATGGTTGATTTTTATCTGGCCTCTGAAATGGCTGAGCAAGCCACTCAGTTTGGGCAGATCAGGATGGGCAGCAAATGTTGGTCTTGCCAGTGACACCCATTTCACATGAAAGAATAAAGAACAAAAGCAAGTGATATAAAGTCAGTAAGGAGTCTTCAGCATTGACTCTGGCCCTCATGGCTTGAGATAATAGGCAAGGAAACCCCACCCCCTGCACTAATTACTACCTACCACTTTCCCTCAGTGGATGTATCAGCTGCTCCTCTATGTTGAACATCGCAAGTACCCATAATGGGTCCATCACTAAGAGTGGGGGCATCACTGCTGGTTGAATCCTGAAGTATATATATACCAGACTGGGTCTGTGGCATATGATGAGAGAACCAGCAAGAGAGGAAAAGCTATTTGACCTGGTTGTCACCAATGTACCTATTGTAGGTGCATCTATCCATGATGATAAAGGAAGGAGCAATGTCCAATAGTTATCAACTACAGTGAATTCAGGCAATGAGGGTTTGTAAACCACCAAAATTGATTAATGTGCCAGTTCACTGATCACAACATCAGTGAAGCTGCTTAACTGGGATTGCATTCAAACTCCAGAGTCAGTTCTCAGTCTGATATTTGGCTCAGGCTTGGTAGAAATTTGGCCCAGGTTTAAAAATTCCAGGTTTAATAATCTCAACTAATTAGATCTAAAATATTAAGGCTGTGAATTTGTCTTTGAATATTTCTTTTCACTGTAGGAACTGAAATAGTGGGAAATGGAGGACTTCAACTTACACTACAGGTTCTTAAATTGGAGGCGACGAATAAGAGAAATAAGAGAAGTACGAGCAGTACGGCATCAAGAGAGGTACAAACGCATTCTTGTCGATGGAGACATACTGAGGTAATGTTTCGTATTGAACAAGCACTTTGATAAATCTATGTGAATCAGCGATAAAGTTGCTCTAGTCTGTGATGAAAGACTCGGCACTCAATTTGATCTAGGGTATTGGAAAGTTGCTGCAGAATTAATTGGTGATTTTACGCACATTACTGCAACCAGTGAAATATGTTTTTTTAAAAATCCTGTTACTTCACCTCAGTGGCTTAGCTATATGCACACATCAACAGGCGACTTGCTTTACTGTCGAAAGTCTGAACAGCTTATCCTGGAGAGTTTTCATTAAACATTTATGAGAAGTAAACGGAAATCTAACCAGAGTTATTGTTCATGCCTGCTCCTTTCCTTTGGCTTTGGACATATGTCCATTTTTGGCTCTAGGGCTGCATGTGAAGACTTAGGATGCTGTGAAGGTCTGTGATCTGTATATGAGAGAAAAGCTGGAAATCCATTTTTACCCATGTCTCTGTGGAAATGTCCTTTCTGTAAACTAGTACATACTGCAATTATATAGATTTATTATACTTTCTCAAGATTGCTTCTGAACACCAGTACGAAGGCTCAGTAGTTAGCACTGCTGCCTCACAGCGTAAGGAACCCGAGTTCGATTCCACCCTTGGGTGACTGTCTGTGTGGAGTTTGCACATTCTCCCTGTGTCTGCATGGGTTTCCTCCAGGTGCTCCAGCTTCCTCCCACAGTCCAAAGATGTGCAGGTTAGGTGGATTAGGCATGGGAAATTTAGGGTTACAGGGATGGGGTGGGTCTGCGTGGGATCCTTTTTGGAGGGTTGGTGTGGTCACAATGGCCTGCCCCCATGCTGTCGGGATTCTATGATCTAGTCGAAAAAGGTGGCTAACATGGTTAAAATCAACAGTGAGACTGGATGTTAAGCAGATTATGGACAGGCTGACAGAAGTGGTGTGGATTACATCTCTTTGGCTAAAATACATTAATGTATTTAATTTATACAGAATTTAATGCAGATTCTTTGGGCACTAATCTTTCAGTTATCATGGAAATGCTGATGAAGTTGGCTGTTACGTGGCACCTCGTCCTTTGACCAAGGAGAATCATTATTTTGAGGTGGGTGAATCTAAAGGAACTGACTTTTGCTGTGAAATACCAGGCTTTTAAAATTGTGGTTAAAGCAAAATTATTGATCCTGCAGTGTGTCCGCAGTCAGACCTGCATTGTCCTTTAAATTCAATTTATATCACTTGTCACAGTTTAAGAGTACTCTCGTCTGAGGTGAAGATGATGTCCATGATGGGTTCTTGTGCATGGAAACAGCATCGTTTAACTAGTTATTTTTATAAATAACTGCAGAAAAATCCATAGAGTATCTTGACCTTTAAGCAGATGGCTTGACCATTTGTGTTTTAATGGTCTAGACTAAGCAGATCTCAAGAACTGGTGCTTCTAATGTATAGAACAAAGAACAATACAGCACAAGAACAGGCCCTTTGGCCATCCAAGCCAACACCGATACATTTTGCCCTTCCAAACTAAAACTGTCTTTACTTACAGGATCTGCATCCCTCTGTTCCCTTCCTGTTCACGTACCAATCCAGGTGCTTCTTGAAAGTTACTATTGTGTTTGCTTCCACCACCACCTCTGGCAGCACGGTCCAGGCACTCACCACCCTTTGTGTGAAAAATGTGTCTCAAACATCTCTTTTAAACTTCTCCCTTTGCACCTTGAACCTGTGTCCCCTAGTAATTGACCCCTCCACCCTGGGGAAAAAGGCCCCATATTTTCCCCTCTATTCAGGCCATTCACAATCTTATAAACTTCTATCAGGTTGCCCCCTCAACCTTGTGCATTCCAGTGAAAACAAACCCAGTCTACCTAACCTTTCTTCATAGCTAAAATCCCCCATACCAGGCAACATCCTGGTAAACCTTTTCTGTACCCTCTCCAAAGCATCCACATCCTTCATGTAGTCTAGTAACCAGAGCTGTACAGAATATTCCAAGCGTGGCCTAACTAAAGCTCCGTAAAGCTGCAGCATAGCTTGTCTATCTTTATACTCAATGCCCCTGCCGATGAAGGCAAGCATGCCATAGGCCTTTTTTACTACCTTATCTACCTGCACTGCCACCTTCAGTGTTCTGTGGACCTGCACATACCCAGATTCTTCTGCATATCAATACTCCGACGGGTTCTGCCATTCACTGTATAATTTTCACCTGTACTTGACCTTCCAAAATGCATCACCTCATGTTTGTCTGGATTAGACGGAACCAAATGGAAAGGAACAGTTTTAAATTACCTCAGCCTTGAACTACTGTTGAGTCAATACATCCTTTTCATTCATACTAAATGAAGTAACTCAGCAAGTGGTATTTGAAGCTTCATTCGTCCATTCAATTAAATGAATGACCATTTTAATCATCTAGAGGGTATGTTTGAATATTAATATAAATGTTGTTTTGAATAATCTCAAAGTCTTTTATGCATGAAGAGAAAAATTTATGTTGTTTAATAGGTAAATGGAGCAGCTTGAAAGATTCCACAAACAGTAACATAGCTGAACCAGTTAATCTATGGTTTGATTTTGGTGAGGGAGGATCAATAGGCCACCCGGATGAGTCCCTGTCCATTTTTCTTAATATTGCCACAGGATCTTTTACATCCTGATTTGGTAGATGGGCCTCGGGTTAACAATTTGCCCAGAGAGCAGTGCCATTCATAGTGCAACACTCCTTTAGAGCTGTATTGAAGTGTTACCTCAGATTATGAGCTCAAGTCTCTGGAATGAGGCTTAAAATGATGTTCTGACTCACGTGCATGCTACCACTGAGCCAACCTGGCACTCAGAATGCTGAGAGAAATATATCAAACTAATCAATGTTCATTTTATCTGACAGTCAGTGCAAAGTCTAGTCATATTAACCCCGAGACGAGATGAAATAAAACTAGGAAGAAAGAAACCAATTTAGGGAAAATATTGTGAAATTCCTCCCTGATTCCTCAAAGTAATAATGAAACACCAGGACACCAGTATTGTAGCACAAAAAATCCTTAAATGATCCCATTTACAAACTAACCCATTTTCTGCCTTCCTCGCATTTCCCAATTCTTTTTTAGGGATATAGGACAATGCAAGGCTGGTAGTAGTCACCTGCATCTGGTTTCAAAAGTCACAGACTTCATAGCCAGTGTTAATTTTAATATCCTTCACTATCTTATCTGTTGAAACCTCATTAGTTACTGTCCTAAAATTTTTAAGTTCCTTGTATGGAGACATGTGATTTTTACCTTTTATTCTTCAAGGATTGGAGCGCCTATTGCCTATTGTTAAGAACGTAAAAAAAATAGGAGTTGGAGTAAACAATTTGGTCCTTTAAACCTGCTCCGCCATTCAACGTGATCATGGCTGAACTTCCACCTCAACTTTAGCTACTTGCACTATTCCCATATCTCTTAAATCGCTTCATACCATTTCACCTTGAATATACTCCATGTGCAATCTACAGTTCTTTGGAATAGAGAATTACAACTATTTACAGTCCTCAAGTCATTTCTCCTCGTCTCAGTCCTAAATAGCCAACCCCTTTTTCAATCCGCAATCCCAAGCTCCAGATTCTTTAGATAGGGGAAACATTTTCTGAGCATCTACTCTGTTGAGCCTCTTTAAGGCTTTTAATATATTTAAAGTGGGCCACCCCTAATTTTTCTAAACTTCAGGGAATGTAGGCCTAGTTAACTCAATCTCTCAATGTAGGTCAGTCTCTGCATTCCGAGAGTCAGGCCATTGATTCTTCATTGTGCTCCCTCCAAGGCAAGCTGAAGTATATCCTTTTTTAATATTCATTCATGGGGTTGTGAGCATTGCTTCCTGGACCAGCAATTGTTACCCATCCTAAAGTCCCTTGAGATGATGGTAATGAGTGGCCTTATTTGAACTGCTGCAGTCCTTGCAGTGTAGGAACACCCACAGTGCTTTTGAGAAGGGAGTTCGAGGATTTTGATTGGTGACACTGAAAGAATGGTGATATATTTCCAAATCAGGATGGTTTGTGGCTTGGATGAGCACTTACAGATGTTCTATTGTACCTGCTGCCCTTCCAAGTGGTAGGGGTTGTAGGTTTGAAAGATCTTGCCTAAGGATCTTTGCTGAATTTCTGCAGTGCATTTTGTAAATGGTACACACTGCTGCTATGGAGCATCAGTGAGGGAGGGAGTGGATATTTGTGGATGTAGTCCAATAAAGTGGGCTGTTTTGTCCTCGATGGTGTCAAGCTGGAGCTGCAGTCATCCAGACAAGTGGAGAGTATTCTGTCATACTCCTGACTTGTGCCTTGAAGATGGTGGACAAGGTTTGGGAAGTCAAGAGGTGAGTTACTTGCTGTGGTATAGAACATAGAACATAGAACAGTACAGCACAGTACAGGCCCTTTGGCCCACGATGTTGTGCCAACCTATTATCCTACTAAGATCAATCTACCCTGCATACCCTACATTTTACTATCCTCCATGTGCCTATCCAAGAGACGCTTATAAGTCTCTAATGTATCTGACTCCACTATCAATGCCGGCAGTGCATTCCACACGCCCACCACTCTGTGCGAAGAACCTACCTCTGACATCTCCCCTATACCTTCCTCCAATCACCTTAAAATTATGCCCCCTCGTAATAGTCATTTCCGCCCTGGGAAACAGTCTCTGACTATCCACTCTATCTATGCCTCTCATCATCTTGTTAACCTCTATCAAGTCATCTCTCATCCTCCTTCGCTCCAATGAAAAAAGTCCTAGCTCCCTCAACCTTTGCTCATAAGACCTGCCCTCCAGTCCAGGCAGCATCCTGGTAAATCTCCTCTGCACCCTCTCTAAAGCTTCCACATCTTTCCTGTAATGAGGTGACCAGAACTGAACACAATATTCCAAGTGTGTTCTAACCAGAGTTTTATAGAGCTGCAGCATAACCTCGCGGCCCCTAAACTCAATTACCCTGCCAATGAAAGCCAACACACCATACGCCTTCTTAACAACCCTATCAATTTGGGTAGCAACTTTGAGGGGATCTATGGACGTGGACCCCAAGATCCCTCAATTCCTCCACACTGCCAATAATCCTGCCATTTACCCTGTATTCTACATTCAAGTTCGACCTTCCAAAATGAATCACTTCACACTTTTCTGGGTTGAATTCCATCTGCCGCTTCTTAGCCCAGCTTTGCATCCTGTCAATGTCCCATTGCAACCTACAAACAGCCCTCCACGCTGTCCACAACTCCACCAACCTTCATGTCATCGGCAAACTTACTAACCCACCCTTCCACTTCCTATCCAAGTCATTTATAAAGATCCTAGCCTCTTACCTGTTCTTGTAGCCACAGTATTTACATTGTTCATCCAATTCAGTTTCTCAGTAGTGGTAGCCTCCAGGATGTCAGTAGTGAGGGATTCACTAGAACATAGAACATAGAACATTACAGCGCAGTACAGGCCCTTCGGCCCTCAATGTTGCGCCGACCTGTGAAACCAATCTGAAGCCCATCTAACCTAAACTATTCCATTATCATCCATATGTTTATCCAATGACCATTTAAATGCCCTTAAAGTTGGCGAGTCTACTACTTTTGCAGGCAGGGCATTCCACGTCCTTACTACTCTCTGAGTAAAGAACCTACCTCTGACATCTGTCCTATATCTATCACCCCTCAATTTAAAGCTATGTC